TTTCAGCATATTGTTTGTGTTTTACAGCCAGAACCAAGTTGCTACACAACAAAATTACTTGGAATTGTGACTTTGTCCACAGCAGTCGGCAAAAAAGGCAACTCAAACGTATTCATCCAAACAAAGGGTGAAAGTTTTACTTTTGTAATAGCTGTTCACTAAATACTGTATGCAACCTGTCAAATTTATTTATATGTAGTTCCAAATCCAAGTTGTCTAATTTTTCATATGATGCTGTTCTATTGAATCGTACTCTTTATATTTTTCTACGAAGAGTCATCAGCTCATTGTAGAAAAGAAAGAAAGTACTGCACACTATGAAAGCATGACAGGACTTGAGCTCCTTGAATAAAGACTGGGAGATGAAATTCCTCTCATTTTGCATTAAGAGAGTTATCTCTTATGTTCTTATTTTACACAGTGTGATATTTATCTCCATGATAAATTGCGGCACACTGACTTTTCTGTTGTAATTCATATTTAGGTTATCTCACATTTGTTGGATTAAAGCTGAAAACAACTGCTAGTACAGTTTCCAAAAGTATGTGGACATCAGAATATCACTGTTTCACCTTCTTAAAATAAATGCTCACATACACTTCCAGGGTATTTTTCCCCCAATGTTTTCTTGCCTGACTTGTAAAGCAACATATCAGGGTGGTCAAGTGAAACTTTTCATGCCGTCGGCTTTTCTGTTTTTCGATTTACCACTTTCTACCACACTCAGTATGTTTTATGACTTGGGCCCTTGAAACCCATCCAGAAGCCATTTTGACATTCTTGAAGATTCATGGGCTTCAGTGGGGAAATCCACTGAGTTCCTGAACAGAAGTGTTTTTTTCCCAGAGTTTTAGCCCTTTTTTCTCAGAATAGCAGCCCAGACAGCGTGGATGTGTAATGTGCTTGAAGCAGACCGACACTCTTTCTTACGTTGTCAAAGAAAAACAACCCTGAAGTACATTATAAGCTGCAGAGGGAATGGAGGAGTGTATTATGCTTCAAGCAGAGAGAATCCGACAGGAGACAGTGACAGGAAAAATAACCTGATTACTTGTCCACATTTAGAAATAAAAGTGTTAACCACAATGATAGGTCAGTGCAAAGTCACCACTCAAGTTTGTGTACACGTGTTTGTGCAATCCTACAGTACTGATGAGTCTACAGGAAAACAAGAGGGATGATAGTAGATCTCTGCAGACAAACAGAAGGACAGCAGTGTGTGTGTGAGTATGTGTGCAGGACAATAGAAAAGAGGACAGTATCAGTTCGTGTGTTTGTGTGTCATGAGACCATTTTGCTTCTTTTGTACTGAAATTATTACTACCTGCGATAATCCAGAGAGTGCGAAAGAACTTGAGGTGAGACATTAGACGGAGAGAGACAACGACATGGACAGAGAGGGAGAGGAGAGAGTTGGGTTTTCTTGTTAGACAGCGCCCTGGGCAGAGAGAAGCTAACACCTTGGCTTCAATTATTAACACGGTACTTGGCTTTTCATTCAGCTCAGCCTGGACAGTATCTCTCTTTTTTCCCCGTGTCTCTCTGTGGTTACCAGATCTTTAGTGGCACTCGTTGGGTTTGAGTGTGAGATAAAGGCACCCTCTTGTCGCTGCAGGGTGTTACTGTCGTACCGTTCATCGTGTATGCTTATGAGCCCCGGAGACCAAATTAATATACTTAGTATTCACAAAAGCACAGCATTATAGTGTGGTGTCCCTCATTACCACAGACAGGAGAAAAAGGAAATAGGGACCTGCTTGTACAAAGGCTTAATGAGAAAAAGTGAGCAAAAATATATATATTTGTTAATTGGAATGAATTATTGGAAATTCTCTCGTACAGAACATGGAGTAAGATTTAAAACAACCTCTGTCTGCGTGACTCCAGTAACTATGGCTCCACAGTCCTATTTTTGTGGTTTTCATTTAACTTCATATATGTTTGTATAAAATTTTGTGCAGTAGTGCAACAGCAAACATCCGTCTTGCTGCACGTTTGATTAATCTCCTGACGCGAGCGAGACGAGATTGTTTACAGTGAGGAATTCAATATACTGCTCCATGTTTAAGGGTTGAAAACATGTTTTCTGGGACCTGTTCACTCAGACTCTCCAGTCATACTTTTTAAATAATATACATTTAGAAGAAAAAAATAATTCAATATAAATTAAATTCTTAAAGCAATCAACACGATCAGAGACAGGAGAACGATTTTGTATAATAAAGGAAGTGACCCAAAAGTGAATTTAGACCTCTAGACCTGAGAAAACAGCAGTCATTTTAAAATTTTAAGCGTTCTGTTCTAATGATGTTCTTCAAATGTAAAAACTATTCTTTTGAATTTAAATCAGACTTATTCTCGTGCATATCAGCGTGTGTTGCTGCAGTGAGTTTTAAGATCTACTTCAGCGACACTTGAAGTTCTGATGACCGCCCTCCAGCTTTTAAAATCAAAGGCGAGCGTGGGGCCTTATGAAAATCACAACCTGGAAAATTGGGGCTTTGAGACATGAAACAGCATATTACATATGGTGTCAACTCTTGTGAGCAGCACTATATGTGTCGATTTCCCCTGCTTACATACATTTACAGCTTAATGTAGAGTCTCTTTCATCTTGGCTTCCATTTCATGTTTTGAAAAAAGGATGAAACATACCGAGCAGTCATTTATCATTCAGCTTCATGTTAAGATATATTGATCTGTGAAGAGGAACAGCAGTTTAACATCTTTTACATTCCTGCTGCTGCACTACATATTGCTGAAGTCCTTTTGCTGCATATATTTCCAATAATAACTAAGGTGCTTTTTAGCAGCCTTATGTTAAGTTGTCATTCACGTTTGCAGTTATACTAGTAGCCATTTGTCACCTGTGCTTAGAATGGCACCTGGTACCATTAATATTATCCAACTCTTTCTTTTGAAAAAGTACTGTACTGTAAACATTTCATGTTTAGTAAAAAGAAAAACAACTTACTTGCTTTAAAAAGTAAGTTTTCTAAATTGCTATCCACAAGTCTCATATCCATGTTTGGCCTATTGTCCGAAATGTCTGCCCTGCTCCACTGCTCTGTACATGCACATGGCATCCCAGACCATGCAGACAGACATGCAACCTGCTGCATGTATCCATATTTACAGTATATTCTCCAGGGTCTCTGTCAAGTAAAATAAGTGTCCCACTGTTACAACCCCAAATTATTTTATTACAATATTCTAATTCTTATTAGGGCAACTATAGGGAGACTGTGCTGCACAGACAAGCTTTTGTTAGTTGCAAATGACAAAGCTTTAGGAGCCAGATTATTTTTGAAAGATTTACTGAGGCTGTGTTCTACATGTGTAGCTTGTGATTTATTGTGGCAAATACAGTATTTGGATAATGCTTGAAGAATGAGGACAAAATCGCTTCGGAGCTGTAAAGAGCAAAAAGATCATGAAAAAATATTGTTGGTCATAAACGTTGGCAGCGCCGTGCACTGTCTGAAAATATTATGGGTGTATCATCGTCGTGGCAAAACATTGTTATAATTATAATTTCTACTCATCTTTCCCTTTCAGCCCTCAAGGGGCTCCATATGTTGTGGCGTTGGACAGTCCTCACTTCCCTCTTCACATCTCCTCTCCTCCCTCTCTGCTCTCTTGCCAAGTGGTTTGGAACAGTCGAGCGTCTTCGTCTCTCACTCTTCTCACGCTTGTCTCCGCTCTCATCTCCTTATTTTGCTGTTCTTGCACATCCTTCTGTCATTGCCTTCTAAGTGCAGGTTGTTTTCTCAGTGCATCTTTCACATACTGTAACAAGCTATTAAGAAATGCTACACCACTCTACTGAAGTATTCCACCAGCTATGACAATAAAAAGGCTTCACTCTCATCTTGTGCTTTGGGACATATTCAAAGTTTCGGGCCTTTTCACATCTTTTTTTTAGAACTTGAAAAAGGCGTGACAGAGCCTGAGAGAGATATGACAAAGGTCCAGGACTGGATTATCTGCCTTCTTTCTTGCTTCTTTCAACCTTTGAAAAGATAAGCTCCTGCAAGAAACAATTGATCTGAGACCCTCTAGTTAGCTCAGACAATTGATTATAGGAGCTTGTGCCATTATTATCTCCCAAGCACTGTAAATAAAACTGATCGCTGGGGTAAAGCAGTTACTCATGACAAAAATATTAGGTTTTAAGGGAAAAATAACAGTCTGGAAAACATCTACATACAAATACTGAGATTAGTGGGCAAATAAGATCCCCAATGAAAACACGAAATCTTAAATTGACAAATGTGCGAGTGCATTTTCTTGTCAACTGCAGCAGCAGCATTCACTGTAGTAATATCCACAGGAATACTGTACACTCTTGATTTATTTATTTCACTGCTCTGCCTCCAAATTATATCCACATGGTGTTACTGAATAATTATTCATTACAATTTACCGACCCCCTCTTCAGCGTGTTAAGCAAGACAACAAAACATATTTTGAATATTTATTTGATTTTGCAGTAAAGCTGAAGACGGAACTCATTTCTGTCCTTTTTCCTTCCAGGTCTTCCGAAGCGGCGAAGGCATGGGCATCCGTCTGGACAGTGCCTCGGCCTTCCAGGGAGCCATCATCTCGCCCCACTACGACTCCCTGCTGGTGAAAGTCATTGCCAGCGGGAAGGACCTGCAGACAGCGTCCTCCAAGATGAGCCGTGCCCTGGCCGAGTTCAGAGTACGAGGGGTCAAGGTAGGACATTCAGCCATGGCTTATTCCTGTTTTTATTTGCATATTAAGTACCCATTGTTTCCCATGGGGTGAGGGAAGTATGAATTTTTGTGCGTCTGGCAATCTGAGTTGATAATTTCAAGATAATAATAATTGTTAATAGCACTGGATGTCTGACATCAAATTTGTTGTGTCTTGTAGTAGTGTTCTGCTGTCATTGACTTGAGCCAGAGCTGTAAGGTTAATTCTGCAGAGCAATTAAAATGGTTCTGTACCCCAGGGGGATCCCGATTTCATATCTGTGCATTGGGCCTGAACTGCAGTGGCAGACAAGGTCTTAGATGGTTTTTTTTCCTCATATGCTTGCCCAGCTGTCAGTGACCTTGGAAGCCTTTTGAGATTTTTCTGGAGATGTTATTAGAGGGACCTCTTTCTGAAGGGCTGTGTGCACTGAATCAGCTGCAGAGTTCAAGTTACTTTGAAGCGGTGCTCCGGTACTCCTCGATGCTCGGCCTTACTTGTCTGTGCACATGTCAGTCTTTGAAATAGACAACGCGCAATGTCATTGTCTAAAACTGCCTCAGGATACATCACTGCAAAAAAGACTGAGGCCTTGAGTTTGAGAGAGGTTGTGTTAAATATTGTCAGCAGGTGTAAACGGCTGTTGACAGAAGACGGACAGTGTTAACAGACTGAGAATGAGCTTGTATGGTGCTGACATGCAATTGATGTTATAAACCTCATCACGTCTCCTTCACCTTTTGTATTAGCTTAAATTCAGTGTTTTGTTTATTTTAGGGATTATGAAATTAACTCATGTTCAGTATTGATATTGATATGTACACTTAATAAGCAAGCAGCAGAGTCAGCATTAAACAAAGATCACTTGATTCTCTAGTAATGTGTGACTTAAGTTAAAAAGCCCATTGTAATAGTAATGAAGTGGTGCATAGTATTAAATCAGCTGGACTACAGCAACT